ATGCACAGCCATGCACAGCAGGTCACCTGACCATCCAATCCTTCCAGCAGGTTCCAGCACATGCCAAGGTATACCAGCTACTTCCATGTCATAAAGGCTTAGTCATGTCTCTTGACCAAGCAATAAGCTGGTGCCCTGACAGCTACCTCCTCCACCACCTGTTGACTTCCCCCTCCTCTCTCCTGACCTGTGTGCCTCTGTCCAGTCCATCATATCAAAAGGTCACAAACCTCTATCAGTCAAGTACATCCTCAACACTTGTTCTGAGCCCATGCTGCTCATCCTTGCATGCCCTGTTTGCAAGTGATCAGATCTCTCCACCATCCAGGGGCTCTATAACCATTGCCACCTCACCCATCAGCTTACGTATGCAGGTCACTCAGAGTGCATTGAAGCTTCTGGACAATGCATGATGAAGGAGGATATCCTCACTGTGGGGCTGGACAATGTGGAGATCAAGGGGACTGGCATCCCCAGCATACAGAGACTCTTCCAGCATGCAGTGGGGATGCAGCCCTCTGCCCCTCCACCTGTGCCACAGGTGCTCAACCAAATTGTGCAAGCACACACCCCACTATTGCCTTCTCCTGCAGCAGTGGACACTGATCTAAACAAGACTCTCAGATTGCACAATGAGACACCTGCACTGGCTCAGTTCTTGGGCACAATGGCATGGTGAAGGCAGATCAAGGTGTTCAATACTGGTGAGGAGATTGACGTGGTCACTGAGCTCCCGGAACCACGTTGCTTCAGGTGGCTGTATTGCCTGCAAGGTGTACCACCTGAGGAGGAAATGCTGGACACAGCTGTTCCCCATAGAGTGGACATCCCTCTGCCTTCAATGATACCCCAAGCACCAATACCCACTGTCATGAACCCACATGAGAAACAATCCTGCTTTCATATCTCTTGCCAGATTATCATTATCTATTGCAGCTGATTTATACCCCTATGTGCATTGCTATTCTGCATTCAGGGAGTAAAGCTAACCCCAGGCAGCCCATTGTCATGGTAACATAGATGGCACCACACATGACTGGTCTCTTAGCATCATCGCACCTTCCTATGTATGAAACCTATTTCCCCTTGATATAACATTTCTCATGATTTTATGCAGATGCTGCACCTCTCTACCTTCCTCCAAGAAGCGCACATCACTGTCCCCTCAAACCCTCAAACCCATGATGAGCTTCCACTCATCATACATGAAGGCTTTCCAAATTTGCACAATGACTTGATCCCTCTCATTATTTGCATTTGGAACATGGCTCACAAAGCTATCTCTGTCCTGCAAGGAGATGCCAAGGATATTGATCTGTTAGCACTCAACTGCTTGTGCCGCCATGTTTCATGCCTTGCCAGCATCAAAGCTGAACTTAGTTGGAAACTGGTTTTCCCATGAAAAAATCACACTCAGCCATGCAGCATGGGAGGAAATTTTCTTGGAAGCACTTGATATTTTCATTGGACATGTGTCACACCCATTACAAGATGGACAGCCCAGAGAAGTTATTGACATGATTGCAGCTTCTTTAGGCCTATCTAGTGAACACATTCAATGGGTGCTTTCCCAGCATATCCCAGAGCTTCAGTCTTCTGCACTCACTGGATGGTTCAACTTCCCTTGTTATTGGTTAAGTTTCTACTCAGCAGATTCATTGTCATGTTGTCATAAAGTCCCACCAACCATTTGCTTTTCATCAACATTCACTGCAACTGCTCAAACAGCTGGCTGTTGCAGTATGTGCAATGGAGGTGGTCTTGTTGGTCAGAGAGACAGGAACTGGCAAAACCACTGTCATTCAACATCTTGCTTCTATGTTCAGCCACTCCTTGATTGCACTGAATTTATTGATGCAGACAGAGACGGTGGACATAGTCAGCAGGCTAAAGCCAATTGATCCTTGTTTGCCTGCCATCATGCTGCAGGGTCACTACATGGATATTTTTTCAAGAACATTCAGCCGAAAGTGAAATTCCAATTTTGTTGACTCCATGCACAAGGCCCTTTTTCAGGGTAGGTGGCTGTGGCAGGCTTCAAGTGAGGAGCAAAACCTCAATGCTCCAAGCCCTCTACAATTGCCTCATTCCTTGCCTTGATCACCTCATCAAGGAAGAACTCAAATTGAATGGCACTCATCTCTTGCAGCTGACCCTGATACTTGCATATCCATGTGTTGGTCTGCTTGCATGCTGAGGAGTTGAACGTCCAGGTTTCGGATGCCAGATCATACAACTCAGGGAAAGACGCCAGATTGCAGTGAGTGCTGCAATAGACATTGTTATCTGCATGCTTTGTCTTGTAGTGGAAGACATCCACCACAAGCACAGTCTCCTTGAAGTGCTTGGCTTCTGGTCGGCCTATGAGATATTGGCCTAGAGTGCAGTTGTTGTCAAAGAACAACACCTCAGGCATGGCCTTGCATGTGGGCAATATGGACATGAGGAAAGGCTGAGAAGTGAAAGGTTAGTGTTTGCTCTACAGATGCATGAACTTTGCTGACTGCAACTGAAAACATGCCCTCTGAACCATAGAAGGTTGCCCAAGCAAGTACAATGCTGCATGGACAGACCACAAACTGTTTGTTGTGCATCCTGCACCTGCCAAAGTGCAAGCCTTTGTACTTTGGCTTGGCAGTGGCCTTGCTCCCCTTCTCCTTCCTCTTCTCTTTCCCCTTTGCCAGCCTGGCACCAACTGGTAGTGTTTCCCCATCATCTGGGAATGGCACCTGCAGTTGCTCCTGCTTGTCCTGCACCTTGACCTGCACCTTGTTCTCCTCATCCTCCTCATCCTCCTCCTCCTCCTCCTCCTCCTGCTCAGCTGGTCTTGGGTGATAGCAGCCACAGCCAATCTCATTGCATTGGTATGCCTCGTGTCGACACTGTCAAAGCAAGGCATATGAATTGCCAGCAGCGCAGTATGCTGTCTCTTGTGCGGCATGCTCTTCCAGATCACAGGTCTGCATGTCCAGTTGTGTAGGAGCATTGCAGCCTGGGAAGATGCAGACATATTCGAGATGGGCATGAGGAATGCAGAAGCAGGCATGAGAACTAGGAAGAGGGAGAGGACAGTTGTGGACAGCACAGCATAGGCAGCTGATAGCTACGCCATCTGTGACAGCACAACTCATAACATCTGTAGAGGTTGAGTAATGCAACTGGATGATTCAGTGCACTCACAGGGATGCCCATCACGCTGGATTGTCTTGGTGCACTCAGAGCATGCATGCACCCAGTGGGGCTGGCCAGTGTAGGCCATGAAAGCATTGCACTCTTGCATGGTGTATTTGAGTCAGTCATACTGGTGCTGGGCATCATTGGGAAGGTGGAGAACACTGCCCTGCTTGGTGTGGTGGAGAAGCAAGGCATAAAGGTCAAAAAGGTCAGATATACTTTTGCCTTAAAGGAGGGATGGGTGATATTGACCTTGCTGCCTGACGCTGGCATTTGCCAGTATCAGGTTGTATATGTCTGCATTTGCAGATGAGGACACACTATCCCTGCATCAGTCTCTGCTAGTCCTAGGGATGACAATGCACTTGGCAAGAAAAAAGAAGAGATCACCATCCAGAAGCCCCTCTGGGAAGAGGTATGCACTAGAGGGGAGGGAAGGGAAGTTCAAATGGATAGACGTGCATACTGGGCATGGATGGTCTGTGCACAAAAGAGATGGCAGAGACGGTCTTTGAAAGCCATGTGCTTTTCGGCTTGAAGGACTGTGGCATGCTGCCATAGTAGATGCAAACCTCCTCTGCTGCTTGCTTCTCACTGTAGAAGTTGAGGTAGTACGTTGTCCTGCATATCCTGCAGCGCAAGAATATGAGGATGACAGGGATTGCACCCTGGGCCAGTGTGTACAATGTGGCAAAGTGCTGGTTGTGAAGGCTCAACATGGCATGCATGCCAGTGCAAACATGGTGGGGACAGGCATCCCTAAGGCATATTCAGGTCAGGAGGTAGAAATGTTTGATGCCTAGTAGTATATAGATGAATGGGAGGTAAGGGGAATGAAAGGAGGAGCTCACCAAGGTTGTATTTCTGTGCAAAGCACGCAAAGAAAGGGAGGGGATCTACCAGAGGGCTAGTAGGATGCATAGGATCCCTATTGGGTGTCCAAGCAGTCCACTGAAGAGCTTGCCAGAGGATGGGAATGTGCTCTGGTGGGAGTCTGAGCAGATCAGAGAGGAAAGCTGCAACTGTGTTTGGTATCGCAGCTGGGGGAGTGTTGAGGTGTTCAATGCCAGGTATTTCTTGCCAGGCAATGCACATTTGGAGGTGCTGGCAGAGGGTGATGAAGAGGAGGGCTTGCTGGATGTTGAGTTGCGACAAGGACTCATGTGCTGCTGAAAGCTGGTGAATGAGGTCAAGGAGTAACATGGGGGGTGGAAGAGTTGGTATGAGGAGAGGAGGGGAGGGGAGTTGAGGGAGGGAGGAGTCGGCAAGGGGAGTCAAGGGAGGGAGGAGTCAGCAAGGGGCAGTGGATTGGCAGTGAGCTCAGCTGGTTGGATGATGACAAGTGTGACTGGTGCCATTCATCAGGTATAGTAGATAACTGGTGACAATGTACATAATGTAGGAGTACAATGGAATAATATTATGTCAGCTGAGTAAGATATGTACAGTAAGCAAAAAACACTACCACGTACCCCGTCCAGAGTCCAGAGTCCAGAGTTCAGAGGACCCTGCCCCAAAACTCGGATATACTGTCAGCGGAAGAGTATCATCGCCACTCCAAACTCCGATTCTCCTTCTAATCCCTTGAAAGAAGCGCCCAATACTGGTCTGCTCCCGTAAACTTTAGAAAAACCATCTTTCAAGCTATCGGAAGAACTCCAGTCATGGTGCCTGACAACCGGACCATCGTTACCTCCGACCTTGCATGTGACCATCTCATTGATATGCTTGGCTGTTTTGCATGGATATCTTGCGGACAGTGGATGACATCGGAACAACATGTCAGACATGCTTCTTGAGCACCGCAAGTAAATCGTATGCCAACATCGATAATGCCATCCTTTCTTCTCCGTCACAGACTTTTCAAATTTTCCTTCGGCGCGGCAGGCCGCCGTCATAGGGGATCTATGTGGTTCATAGTGACATCGCTACCTTGGCGAAATGGTCTATTAAACGCCGATGGACAATTAGCCCGTGGACCTCCACACACCACTAATACCACTATGGTAAGCAAGTACCGAACAACGAACTCAAAGGCTGCCGAATCAAAACGAAATATGACAGCATGTAACATCCGTTACTCGCTTGAATGCGCTGTCAAACTACCCAATCTCATGTAAGAGAACCCAGCTTTCAAACATTACTGTTTTATCATTGGTCTGAAGCTGTTCCCGAGTGATGAGAAGGTTTTATGACCGATGAGAAGCATCTCCGGAAGTAAGGTCGCAAAAGTCAACAGGAAGTATAGGCTTGTATCGAGCTGCACAGTGGTAGCATGCCACCTGCACACTAGCCCAGGCACTTGGCACTTCTTGTCTGCTACGGGTGCACCATCAGCAAAAATTAGGGACTCGGCAGCTGTAGTAGTTGCAGCACCGTGGTGCGGTGAGGTTGACATGTAGTACGGATAAACCGAGTTCCCACGCTTGTACGAGAGGGGGTCCCACCGTGCCAGTGGTACTTGGGCCAGGTGCTAGGTGGGAAGAGGGCCGGAGGGGTTCGGGGGGGGGGCGTCTGGGGGGAGTCATGTCACTGAGTCATAGGCATCTTTGTGCTGGACAGGGGCAATAGGAGCAGCCATATCCTGGTTCGCGTTAACAGCATATAGTAAGCTATATGTGGCTCCTTCACGTCCGCTCACGTTCATCTCCCTCTGAAGCTTTCAAACTTTGAATGAGCGCGTGGACATGCTCCAACACCACTGGACCCATCTCATGCTGGAGGATCTCCAAACAGATGTCCCTCACCAGCTCCAAAGCTTTGTGTCCGCTCTCTCGATGGATGATAAACTGATGATGGCTGCCAGGCCAAACGTCCTCGCTCTCGTACATGGCGTCATTGGACCTACGGGGTGGCTGAATATGTTTTCCTCGAAACTTGGTGTAGACGTGGAAGCGCGGGCCAAAGGAGGAAATGCCGATGATCAGCGGAGCCTCCTGGTCCCAAGTCCTGGAGACATCGAGTAGTCGGGTGCGCATCTGATTGTCCGCCTCCATCTCCCCCGAGAAGGAGCCGTAAGCCCACTCAGGTTTCGCCTCCCAGACGACAATGACATAGCCGCGGCCTTCACGCTTGGGGGAGGAGGCCACCATGCGAATCCAGAATATCATGGAGTCGGTAGCCTCGCGGTGATCCCTCGCGGGTACCGGTTGAGGCAATACGAGAAATCCGGAATCAGAAGGGAAGAGATGCGTGAGCACTACGTTGATCAAAGCGTACCAGAACGACTCGACGGCATTACCGAGTACGACTTTGCGGATCTGGGCCAAGCCTTCGTAATAGTTCATAGGCCAGCCGCTGTAGAAGGGATCGTGGTCCGAGTTCGGTACCTCATGCAAAGGCGCAATGTGGCTTCGGAGCTCGGCAAGCCAGTCTGTCGGGTGAAGAATAACGGCTGACATCAAGTAGGGGACCGTTATAGCGTAGGAGAGATGATGGGAGCGATGCTGCGGGACGGTGAGGCACCATGAACAACTAAGAGCACGATAGTAACAGGGAAGACACACGACTGACGAGAAAAAGCAGGAATACGTATCAAGACCTAGTTTGTGTCATAGCAGCGAGCAGACAAGCAAAAAGATGTGTGAATGACCGGGACACGACTTTGATTAGGGCCGGCTTGCCCCCACAGTAAGAGACTGCGTACGTGTCCTGATGGACCCTATCCTTGCATAGAAGTTCCTCATATGCATCTGTCGACAGCATCATTCCTCGCGGTCTTGTGAGCTGTTCCCAAGTTTGCAGTAGGGGAAGGCATTGAGGTCTCTCCCAGACTGGCACTACAGGCCACCGCAGCCAATATCAAGGGCTATATCCGGCCTAATGAGATCCTCAAAGGCTCGTCTGCCGGACTTCCATACGGGAAGCGCTCATACTCTGTAGATCTTTCATCCCGCGAGCTCTCGCCTGCTACGCGCGTCGTGTTAGATGGAGGACGATGGAGTGCAAGAGTGACCAAGGGGGGAGTGTGGGAGCTGTGAGTTTGGGCTTTGTGCTGCACATGCACGCTTCGGCACCTGCGGCATGTGCCGGGGAATGCGCGACCTGATGTGTTTCAGACAGGGCATACCAGAGGGAGAATGGGTCTTGGACGTGTTAAGTCCTCAGTATGATTTTGACCAGGTGCGTCCCCTTCTATTCCAGCACAAGCACACATCAACGCTTACGATGCATATAGTACTTGGTGCGGGTGCCGGCCGACCCCTCCCAACCGCTGACACTCCACCCGCATACGCCCTTCGCACCTCTCTCCAGCGCCGTACATACCCTCGCCTCTCCACTGTACCTTTCTCCTACCCACTCTCGTGCATGGCAACAAGTAGACAGCACTTTTGCTACGCAGATCCGGGGGATGTTCGGCAACCCCATGATGCTGCTTATGATTGCCACTGTGGCTGGTGTGGTGTTAGTGCCGATGCTGCTGAAAAATATGGATCCCGAGGCACTGGAGGAAGGAGGAAAGAGGAGGGAGATGATCGCTCGGGGTGATGTGGGGAATGGGTGAGTAGATGACCGAAGATAGTTTGGCGTTCCTATGTATTGACGAGGAGGACAGGCTTAAAGGGCTGCTGGAGGAGCAAGGAAAGCGCGGTCCTGCTGAGGCTGTTGCTGCCCCTAGCGGGGGGAGACCAAAAGGTAAGGGACGTAGGAAGTAGTTGTTATGCCATTATTGTACCTATACCTTAATCCGCGGATAAAACGTCATTTCTCCGGAGAAGAGGAGGCGGAGTAAGAAATGCCAGGTTGCTTACCTAATTTGAAGCCGTTTGGGTGTCGCGCGGCGCAAATGGGAAAAGCAGTTCGAGGAGAAGGGGGGCCAAAGAGCACCCTAGCATGCAGGGCGCCTCGGCCTGGTGCGGATGGGCGCAAAGCTACAGGACCACCGTTGGTCTACAGCGCCCGCCCCTCGCACAGCACATCCCTCCTCACCATCCTCCTCATCCCCCTTCTCTCCTTCCTCATCATCCACCACCATCTCCTCCATCGACGTAGACAGCATCGGCACATCTCACCGACAAAGCTTGCACGCGCTCTACTAGACACCTTGGCCTCCTGCTTGCTGTCCCTGGTTTACTATATTACCTGAAAATCTTGCCTGGGTCAGACAGCGCTCGCCACTGACATCGCACAGGCGTTCCTCTGTCTTTCATCCCCAAGGAGCTTACTCGCACTATATCCCACCTGAGCATACCCTTACAGCATTTCATAATCCTACACAATGCCTATCCTTAGGCGGAAAAAGGTTCTCTTTATCCCCCCGCCGCTTATGACGGGTCCCCCCTCCCCGACCTCGCTCAGCTTTGGTTCTCTGCTACATGCGGGCTCACCAGTTGCTGACGTGAAGATCGAGGGTGAGGCAGAGGAGGCAGGGAAGAAGTCTGTGTTGACCCTCAGTCCGAGCACCCCTGTGTGGTACATGAAGGAGACAGGGGAGATATTCACCACATATGAGTACGTGTTCCCGCTCACTCCTCACTCACTGCTGTTGTTGTAAGAAGGTTGATTTGGTATCTCATGACTAACGCGTCTCTAGTGCCTATTGTTCCCGACGCGCCTTCTACCTGCAACCTATCTTCCAATGCGAAGTCACCGGCAAATCAGGCCTAAGGTTCTTCGATGCCCTCCGCTCTGAGCGCGCCGAAGCCCGACTACTGGAATCGCGTTTTCCAGAACAACTCAAGGCATCCGTACTCAGGAGCGTGCAGTTCCAAGTTGTGGGCCGGCTGGATGGGCTCGTAGACCGTGTTTATGAGAGGTTCAAGGACAGGTTCTGGACCGGTGAGCGGGTCATAGTCGACATAGCAGGCGAACGGTATGTACTATTCTCATTTCTAAAGTCGTCGACTGACTGAATGTCGCGCATATAGCTTCATCGCCACTATCTGCCAGGTCTTCCCACCTCGCCGCCGCACCTCTAGCAACTCTTCCAATACAGCAGTGCGCGAACCTGCTCCTATCCATCCATTCCCAACAAGCCTCGACTCGCCACCGATAGATGATGCTCAGGCATACTTCTACAGCGTACAGATAGTCGGTGGTGCTTCAGCTACCGGGCTCGAGAAGGACGGAAAGGAGGGCACACCTGCGAAGAGAGAGGACAAGCGCGAGGATAAGCCCAGAGAAGGGAAGCGGAAGTCGGAGGCGAATGGTGAGCCAGAGGGAAACCGGCGTCGGAGCCTCAGGCAGCGCAGGCAGGAGGAGGAACGCGACCGACTGGAGAAGAAGAGTGCCCCCTCCTCTTCTGCCCCTCCTCCTCCAGCGACGGGGGCAGTGGCAGTCGGGAGCATGAAAGTCGAAGAGCCTGCAGTGGGAGAGGGGTTCAAAGGATCTCTGATGGAGGTCACTTCTTCCCAACTCTCCCGCGACAGACTGACGTTCTCCAAATCCATCCTTCGGCGGTATCTTGCCGCTACCGTCGAGCGTGGTGCGGCACTCGCCTCTCCTTGGGAGGTGAAGCCCAGCCTGTGTAAACGGTATGGGATCGATGCGCATATGCCGGAGGCAAGGAAAGAGGAGGTGGAGGTGATCCGAACCCAGGCGTTGGGGAAGAGAAAGAAGGCAGTTAGTGAGAAGATGGAGGAACGGCAGAGGGAAAAGAGAGAGGAGAAAGAAAGAGAAGAGAAGGAGAGGGAAGAAAGGGAGAGGAGGGAGAGGGGTGAAGAGGTAGATGAGGAGGAGGGCAGGCTGAAGAAGAGGCGGAAGAGCGGGAAGAAGGGTACGTCTTGTTTGTTTGATGTCCGGTATATGCAAACTGATTTGCCCGTAGGTGAAGAGAAGGCAGAGAAGAAAGCCGCCGCTGAGGCTGAAAAGCGCCGGAAAGAGGAGGAGGAGCGGAAGCGGAAAGAAGAGGAAGAAGCAGCGCGCAAGGCCGCTGAGGAAGCTGCTGCGGCAGCAGCAGCGAAGAAAAAGCCCGTGAAGTACCCCACCGAGGACTTGGACGTACGGGTCAACGAGAGGGAGAAGAAGCATGGGAAGCCTTTGAGGAGACCGGTGTGGAAGAAGGACGTCTTCTTCGTAGACCTGGGGCAGGAGGTTTGGGAGACGTTCCTCGAGACGTGGAACTTTCTAAGCATCTTCAGGTGAGCTGCCAAAGGAGATGGTGTTCGCTGTGGCTGATAATGAGGTAGCAAACCCCTTCTGCTCGCCCCGTTCACTATGGATGACTATGCCGGTGCACTCCGGCACAGGCTCGCCGACCCTCCCTGCGTGCTCATCGCCGAAACGCACCAAGCCCTTCTCACCCTCATCGCCCGAGACGTCCCAGGAAAACGACACACCGCACTTATCTCGCTCGGTGTGGACGTCCCTGACCAGCTAGTGGAATTACTGAACCAGACGGGAGAGAGCTGGCAGGCAGGCGGGTGGGAGCGGAAGGGACGTATGGGATGGGAGGAGGCGCTTATCGGGTGCTTGAAGGAGCATGCGACTAAGACTGCGCTGCCTCGATTGCAGCTCATCCTGGAGCATCTATTACTAGAAGATGGTGCGATCAAGGCCAATGGGGTTGGGAATGGTCGTACCAATGACGGTGGCGATTTGGTCGAGCGGGTCGAGCCCACCGTCGGCACGTCGGGGACAAGCACAACGGAGCCCCCCAGTTCACCCATCACCGAGATATCTATAGAAGGCTCGGAAGAGACCACAACGACGCCTGCGTCGCCCAAAACGCGCTACCCGACCCTTCCGATCGCCGACAAGCTTGCCATCCTCCGCTTCTTAACCGACCTGGCGGTTGTGAGCAAGGCGGTCAAGAGCTTCTTGGAGGCGGGAGATGGGGCATTGACGGAGCTGAGGAAGGAGAAAATCGAGCTGAATCGGGAGAGAAAAAGAGTGTGAGTGTTTGCTTGATTCGAATTTATTGAACGGCGGCGCTGACGGCATGTGCAGTGCAGAGGAGTTGGCAGTGCTGGAGGAGAAGATCAACCCTCCCAAGTCGGAAGCGGAAATCAAGCAGGCCGAGAACGGCGAAGCTGCCGCGGCACCGGAAGATGCAGAAAGTAGCAAACCAAACAAAGGGAAGAAAGCGGACAGTAAAATCCCGAAAGCCGACAGTGCCGATACTCCGCTGGGAAGCGAGGAAGCCGACCAGCTCGATATGGATGTTAGCCCAAGCAAGAGCAAAAAGAGCAATGTCAGGTCTAAGCTTGCTGAAACCCCCGTGGACAGCGACGTTGATATGGACGTTGAGGCGTTCGACATGGAGCCTTCTAGCGACGCCGGCTCTGACACTGGATCACCTGTACCGGCAAACATTGATCGACATACCTCGCGCCAGAAGTCACTCCTCAAGAAACATCTGCAGCGAGAGGCTGAAGAAGCCCTGGCTGCCCACCGTCGATCCGCCGCCAGGACTGCCACTGCAGTACTGCGGCTTCTCCACAACGACAAGCGCAAGCTTGAAGAGGAAGATGTCCGCTACATCAAGCGGCTCGAGGCCATCGAGAAAGAGTTCCGCAAACTGCTTGCCGCCCAACGCCAAAAGCCGCTTGGCAAAGACCGGTTCCATAATGTCATCTGGTGGTTCGATGGGATGGGTGGTATGAACCTGACTGGCGCAGGCGGGAATTTCCTTTGGCAGACGGCAAGGGTGTTCATCCAGGGGGCCAGTGAACCGGACCGTAGGTTCTGGGAAACCACGGAAAATTTTGACGAGCGGGTCAAGGAGGAGGAGTGTGAGACAGGGCTCTTGGGGCCGGGTGAATGGGCCTATTATGACACTCCAGAGGATGTGAGTAGTTCTCGATTCAGCTATGCCAATTCCCATGCTGATATATGCCAGGTTGAGGACTTCATCATGTGGCTGAACCTCAAGGGCCGCCGGGAATTCAATCTTGAGCGTCAGATCCACAACTGGGGCGAGTTCATTGTTGGAGGAATGCGTCGTCGTGCGAATGTGAGTCACACGAGCTCTTACCATCTGCATGTTGTCTGACCTGATTTCACACAGGAGCTCGCGGCATCCGTCGGCCGTGCTCTAGATACACGACGCAGTTCCCGGGTGAAGACGGGAATGCTGGAGATCATGCGCGAGCCTTACATGCAGTACACGAATAAGAAATCAGCACATAAGTAACATACCGGCTGGTTCCGTGTATCTGCATTCAGGATGATTAATGTATACATATCGTATGTTTGATAATGCCCATTATTACCTTCTCATCAATATTCCCCCCCGTACCTGTGCCAGCCAGTTCGGCTCTCTGTACAGCACCTGTCAAAGGAGACGGGGTCAGTGCATACATTCTATCAAAGTAGACGTAGTTTAGGTCTGAGCATTGCATTTCCCAAAGCTTCCGATGCCTTGGAAGCAGTGCCTGAAGTCAGTAACGCATCGTTCTTGGAAGATCTAGACGTCTTCAACGCCCCGATCTGCGATCCGTTCATGGCAACAGCACTCATCAAGCGCGCGTTTCCCAGACTACAAAATTTCACTACGTTCATACACCAGACCACTTGGTAGATCAACTGTGGTCAAGTCGCTGCCCGATATATAGCAATCTTGACAGCGTCAGGTTCAACTTGCGCGCAGACCAGCTGGAGGACATGGGGCGGGCTGTAACGTGAGGATACTACGAAACCCCTTCTTAACCATGTAGAATAAGTGCAAGATCAATGATGTAGTTCGGCCGTTCTTCATCCGTTCTCTAATTTTGCCGCGAGAATGAACGAGCCATTCGAAGCAATGGAGCACAGCATTTGCACGTGATTCCGACACCTTGATCGTCTTCAACTGTGCTGTGACCAAATGGGACGGACAGCTAGAGCTTCCTGACCTGATCTTTCTCGAACTGGTCTGCCCGACGACCAGCTCGGCCTTAATCGATTGTCTCGAAGCTATCGATGCCCCCAAGTTGGTCAAGCTAGTCATTTCGTGCAATGAGGACCGACCGCCAGGTCCAACGACCCGATCAGAAGCAATGGCGACGGTAATGGAGCGCGTTGCAGCAAGGTATCGTTCCCTGCGTCACTTACTTTACCGAGAAGGGCCGTTTTATTGGAGGTTGGACGATGAGGCTACGGACGAGGCCGAAGTCTTGCCTTTCAATGTGTTCCAACCGCTTTTATCAATGCAACTTATAGAGTTCGGATTTGTTTCCGACTGTATGGCTTTGGAAATGACTGACGAGGATATCAACATCATATCGGTATCCTGGCCCCGTCTCCGAACCCTCGTCATACGCGGCCGAATCGACCAGTGTCCGATGACGGAACTCACACACCATTGTCTTCAAATGCCCAGCCTCCGTTGTCTTGATCTCAGGAGGCTTGGCTTGAGCATTGCGCGCTGAACGCGGTGCCTAAAGCCAACGAAGCATCGTTGGTGATGGCTCTGGACGTCTTTGACGCGCCACTCTGCGACCCCTTCATGCCGACAGCTTTCATCACACGTGTCTTTCCGAGATGCCGCAAATTCTTTCACACTAATGTATACAACAACTTGGTTTCTCAGTTGTGGCCAACTCCCTTCTCCCATATGCATCCACCCGTGACAGCGGCGGGTCTTGATGACTTCGATCGAAGGCGGAACTGTTTACAGGATATCCAATGGGGTGTAGAGATAGCATAGGGACGATATTCATTCTTCTTGATGTGCGTTATCAGACAGGACATGCGACTTTTATCACTCGGCAGATATCAAATATGACTGTAGCTTTGTAGTCAGGATGAACGGTTGAAAGCTTATGGGCGTCAATTCAAACTAGCGAGCGACGGAGCTGGACCCTCGGGCACAGAACATTCCCCAACTCCTTCGTCGATACCCACTTCATCTGTCCATGCTCAGCATGCATACCATCACGCTCTTTTACCTCTTTCTATTAGCGTCCACCGCCTCGGTTATCGCGCAGTACAGTGCGACTTATCTCCCCTCCGATGCACCACCTCAATCAGAGGACGGACAGTCCGGAACGAATCAGTGTGGAGGAGGCTCGAATCAGACCAGCCTGTGTCAGAATGCATATATCAATGGTGTTGATGGTGCGCACTTCATTGATGATTTGATTGATTCAAGATTTGAATGCTGTGATATTGCCGAATAACAGATTTCTGCCTTTGGGCACCACCCGACACGACATATCAAGGCGTGCCGTCATCCATCGGACAGACGGAGCGAATCGAAGTGGCATGGTGCATGCGCTCTGGTTACGGTACTCGGTGGGCACTTGGTGTGAATTCCGCATAGTGCTCATCTAACAAGGCTGGATGGACCATACAGCCTAATTCCAAATGGTGCTATCACAGGTGCCCATTTCATCCAGACTCCCAACTATGTCCAAATCCTTGGTTCCGGCGACATGACCAAATTGAACCTGCCGTCTGGTGACGATGGAGGAGAGCTTGATCCACATGGTGCAGACGGTCTCGGGAACCCAATCGGTGGACTTGTGTTTGGGACGAGCTTCGGTGTACTGCAGCAGTATCATGAGTGGACGGTATGCAATCGTACCTGACCAAACACACGTCGGCTGATTGAGTTGTCAGAACTTCATGTGGTATGGCGGCTTCTGCTTCAGAGCTTGTGTAGATGGGCCAGATGCGTCTGTATACTGCAATCATGTTCGTTAAGCGTGTTTCTATGCGCTGACCTCCCAATCTGATGGATGCAGATTTACGACACCCTCGGCTGCGGTTGGAATATGCCAGGAAATTATTCCTCGGGAGTTTTCGAGTCATGCCAAGCAGACAATACCGAACCAATGGGCGTCTATGTCAATGATGGAACAACTAGTACCTTCTTCCAGGGTCAACCCTCCACCCCAGACGCACATACACCTGCGCCCTCAAGCAACTGCCAATTCATGGCCACGATCTCGAATGAGGCTGCTCTCCCTGCAACAGCGACATTTCTCCCCAGCAACGCGAGCGTCAGCAGCGTGGGAACCAGTAGTGGGGCGAGTCCAAGTGGATCGACCAACAACGGAGCTGCTGCCACTACTAGCGGGAGCGCCAGCCCGTCTAGTGCCGGCCATAGTGGTGCCGCCCGTGTCCTTCCTTCAGGCGATGCGGGTATGCTTGTCTTCTTGACCGCTGCTGCTGGGTTGCTGGGTGCCTTTGTCATTCTGTAACAGCTACCTACTATACAGATTGCCCCACGAGGACCGAGAGGGCAAAAACAATGCAGGAAGGAACATACAAGCCCTTATTACTTGCCAAGAACTGCCCTGATCACTTTATCCATCCATGACTGTGGTTTCCCCTTCATTACTAATACTCCTGTACCTGTTATCCTCGTCCTGTTGTTGTTGTCTGATTTCACTCCTACTCTTTACTGAGTTCCCACAGAACACAATGTTAAGCAAACCTGTCTTTGCCTTCAAGTCGTTGGGTGAAGTTCTTGAATCGTGGTATATTTTGGCGCTTATATCTAGTATGAACAACTGCGGTGACATCCAGTGTCCAGCAGGTATACAGTTTTGGATACACAATCTATGTGTCTAAGAAGCAAACGTCCTTGATCACTCCACAACACCTGTTCGTGGATCCATTCCTCGTGCAGCTCTCTGATTGAGCGTGCCACCCGCAACACTGCTGGCACCATAACCATAGAAAAAGGCACTTTGGCTCATGATCACTTGCTCAACGAGCATGACGATGTCTGAGAAAAGAAGTTCCCATCCGTACAGTCGGCGATCAGCGAAGGAGATGATGTCTGGCGTGAGGAGTGCACCATGCGCCCGACAGTATGCGAGTTCCTCTGCACCTCGCTCGTCGGTGGCGAGGAAGAAGGGATCGCCTTGTTGCGGCAGCTCCAGGCTCCAAACACTCGTATTGAGCTGAACACCGGGAACTGGCGCTGCATGCGCATCCCCATTCTCTTTTATTTGGCGAAGTGTCTCTTTACCCTTCTCAAACGCATCAGTCAGCATTTTCAGATGCGGGCCGATATCGTGCTCGAGTGCCCAACCGAGTTGGACAAAGTCTCCTCGCCGCAGGTGGCCGGCGAACCACATTCTTCCTTGAACGAGCTCGAAGACATGCCGGGCCACAAGCTCTCCGATTTCGCGGACGCGTGGATGTGGTTGCATACTGTGCAGTACGATCTGCTCAAACTCGCTTCGTCCAGCTGGTGTCGTGAAACGAAGAGAGCCGGGTTTGCGCCACAGATGTACCTCTCCTTCAAGGACGAGGACTTCGTCCGTGATATTGTCCCAGTCGTCCACCAGTCCACGGAGCATGGTGGTCGGTGCTACTTGCCGGATCGGCTCTGTGACATGCTTGATCAAGTCGATTCCTCGTCTGCACGCCGAGTGTCAGCAACAGTTCTGATAGTCATCCATGAAAATTACTCACGATCCTTGGAATGTGTACAGCACACTCAGCCCTCCTTCCCGAAGACTTTGCACCAGGCTCTCGTCATCGTTGACATCAATTCCGTCAGCCCCCCTCAGATCATTCTTCACGTCCTCCCACTCCATGACACCAAACTCGCTGGTGCCTTTCTTGAGTTGTATCCTCGCTTGGACCAACTCGCCTTTCTGCGTCCAATTCCCGATATATGTCTGGCTTTCTGGAAGAAGCTTGTCCACGCGTAGGATAGCGGGAGGGTCATAGTCCTGGTTGTGTATAAGGGCAAAGGTGTTGTCCTTTTGGTAAGACCCACGGCCCCACATGCCCGATTTCCATTCGATGGCGGGGTCAAGACCATGCAAGGTAAGGTATTCGGAGACGAGAACAACGGGATGAGCGGAGCGAAAATGGGGAAGGTCAAGCATCTGCCGAAGCGTAAGAGGGTTGACAACTAACGTGATCATTAAAGAACATACGTATTCTATAGGAATCCGCCATCCGACACGTCCTGCGTCTGGGTCGTCGCGCATTCCGATGCTTCGTTCGACAGAGGTTTCGCCTCTCTTGACCCTTCTCCAGCCCACCTCCCTGAAACGGTCGACCTGCGGTCCATACGCGGCGCATACATCGTAGGAAAACTCACATCCGCGTGCGTAGATGAAGGAGGGAAGAACGAGCGTGCGGTTCAGCAGCTGGGCGTGCAAGAGCGAGGCTTCGATGATGTAGCGCATCTACGTCCATTTCCCATCAGTTCAGGCACATGAATGGCTAACGAGAAGACTGCACATACGTTATTCCATCCCAGCCCTAAACTCCAATCCCTGACATAATACCCCTTGGTCCCTTTCACCATCTCTCGCAATTCTTCCATTGTCCATTCATGCCCCTTTGCGTGAGCTCCGTACTCGTACCCATCGTCCGTAGCGCCTCCACCAGCGTTCATGATCCCGCCTCCGGATGAATCAGGAGCACCAGTCGCTTCACCAGGAAGGGCGGTGTTTGGTCGTCCATCCATCCCTTCATTTTCGGGTGTTGAACTGTTAACCCAGTCAACCACAGTGCGTACACCGCGCGCGTAGTCTGGCCTGAACACTGCATGTAGAGTGAGTCCTGTCAGAGCTACGGTAACAACGACGAGAAGTGCGATCCGGCCGAATCTGCTTGTAGGAAAAACCCGCCATTTCTTGTACGTTGATGGTGAAGGACCGGGGAGAAGGGCCTCGTTGTCCAGATCCTCTGAGGACCGCCCAGGTGCCATCGGTTTCTTCGAATTCAGTACTTACTGTATCGGTTCCTTCGAATTCAGTATTACTGTATTGGTTTCTTCCGTGTCGAAGGTGAATGTATGTGAGGCGTTCAGGGTCGTTTTACGGGCGGTGCGCAGGCCGAGTCCGTCGTCGAACGAATGAATGAGCGAGTGAATAATCCAATACAAACGTGAAGTAGGAATACAGTCGTTTGGTATGGTATACGAAACAGTTAGGAGTTGAATGCAATCCGATGGAAATGGATAACGGCTCTTTATTGGCTGTACAGCCATCCCTGATAATCACGTGAGAAGGTTACACGTGTCCCTCAACCGCAATGTTGATTCTCAGCAAAGGTTGATTTACGTCCACGTCATTCATTCACAACACTGCGAGCTGATCACATATAAGTTTCAAAGTTATCGAGCTAATGGACTTTCCCTGTCCCACTGTATCTTCCCCAATCGATCTACACGTAGGTGATGGTGGTGGTGCTCGTGCCGGTAGTGACAGAAGTCAGGACCTTGTTGTTCTGCTCGATGTCGAAGATGTAGGTCGCACCGCTGGGGCCCTGAGTGGAGCCGGAAGAGGTGGTAGCCTCAGCGCTGGTGAAGGCAACGGAGCCGAAGTTGGCAAACGGCACAAGGGAGTTACCCTCGGTGAAGTCCTCAACGATCCACTCGGCATCCTGCTCGCACAGAGCCGACGAGGAAGTGATGTCCTGAGTGACAGTCTCCCCGGTGGTCAGGTTCTCAATGACTGCAGTGCCGGATGTCGTGCTGGTGGCAGTGACAGTAACGCGGACCTCGTTGCCAGCAGAGAAACTAATGCCGGAGAAGTCGTACGCGTAATCAGGGTACCACTCGTACCAGGCTTCACGCACGTCAGATTTGTCGAGCCGTGATAGTCTTAAAATACACACCATCATAGCTGACTTTGCCGTTATCAATGGTGAAATCAAGGCCGGTCTGAAGGATGGCGGTGTCGCATGAATCGCCATCGATACCGACCCAAGCGGAGGCAGCATAGCTACCACGGCCGCCAGAGGGCGCAGAGGGCGTGGGAACAGTGAAGGTTCCGGTGACAGCCTTGTAGGTACCCTGCAGACATAGCTCAGCGTCCCATACTACAAGACAAGATATGTCACTCACAGCGTTGGCGTTGTAGACCGGGCCAGCCCAGTTGGAGCTGTATGCGGTGGTAGCCTCAGTCTTCGGGCCCGTAAAGTCGGTAGCGGCAGTTATCCTCTGGTTGGGCGTGGACAGGTGAGCACCCAAGGAACGGCGGGCCATACGCTGCTCGAGGCGCGAACGAGACGAGGGAGCCGCAAGTGCCGCGGTCGCAAAGAGAGCAGAGGTGAGCAGGGTGATGGCGACCATGGTGATAAGCTGTTGCGAGCTGAAAATTGCTGACCTGGCTGAAGAGGATTGACAAGACCTGAGCCTTGGACACTGGACCAGATTTCAAGAGGGTTTTTATGCCTGAAGGATCGCCCCATTATTCCAAACTGAGTACCGGCGGTGAATCCACGGCATGAACCTCCTGTTATCTCCATCATGCATATCGTGTGCACAAAAGGGGAGAACATCGACACAAACGACCAGTCCGTGCGGTCTGTCTCCTGAAACGGATGAGGCAGAATGGTGCTTGACCCTAGACATTACCGGACAGCGAGGAAATACGTGATTGAAAGAGGCAAGGCGCACGGTGATGGAGAGCCCCTTTCAAAGAGATGTGGAGGACACTGCCGTCGTGCGAGCAGGCAGGTCGTAAGAAGTAAGATGGAGACAGCATGGCGTACACGGGAGAAGAAAGGATCGACATGGTGGCAAGGCAGACTCCTGAACGGCCCATCAGGCTCTCACTGTCACAGCCGAGGTTGGGTCGGTATTACAGATGATCCGAAAGAAGTGAAATTCTAGCAAGCACTAATGCGAGGGGGATGGCAAGAACATCAACAGCTTATCAGAACTGATTTCCACACCGCACCAATGAAGGGCGGACTCACAGAAGCAAGCTTGAGCCAGAGGTGCCCGGATCTGCGTTGGCAGACGTTAAGAGACATGCGGGATGTGGCATATGGACCAGCCCATAGAGATATACAGTTTCCGCATAGAACATTTGACAGGAATATCCCTAGGTAGATTCAAGGGGATCTTCAGTTGCCCAGACGAAGAAGCTGCCGGACAACTTGTATCCCCTTAGTACATTGAAATGTGGTGGAATACTCCGGCCGAGTCTATACCCGCGGCTGGTTTCCTTTGGATACCCAAAGCGGTGCCATATCAAGATGGAAATGGAGGTATATGTCTATAAATAAGCGACAGCGAGAATCATCCCACCAAGACCGCCGCAACATTCATTCCTAGAGAACGCCGAGAGACGCGTACTCGTCCAAAGATAAGGATCAGAGCCCGACAGCTTCGCTGGACGCGCTGACGTGTAGTATCCACGGAGCCAGCAAGTTACGTCTCGTACTAGAGGATATTAGTCGGAACGACAAGAGGGAGTTGACAACATCTTGCAGAGCAGACGCCCGCAAACCCGTAGAACAGTGCACAACGCTGAGACCCTTACGGAGATTGCCCATCTCTGCAAAGGGTTGCGACGCGAACAAAAATCAGCAACGGCTGAAGTTCTTTCGCTGCCGGTTGAATAGGGGCTATTGACTTCTGGCTCAATAGGCGCTCCGCTTGCTTCTGTTGGACTTGCATGACTTGGTGTTGGGCAGTGGTGCTGCTAGCCGATGGCAGCAACGTGCGCCATTACGCTTCGTTTAGACAAGAAGTCCACTGTGCGGCAGAACATTTCCAGAAACCAAGCGCAAACAACCTGAAAGCAGCGGGTCGTTAAAGCAAAGCAGCGTGGTGGTCGTTGCGTGATAAGCTGGCGAGGGCACGACGGAGCGTGACGCGTGTATGCTCAGAAGCGAGAAGCACGAACCCCACCCGCGTGCTTCTGTTCCGCCACGACCACGTGCTTCTGCAGCATCCCGCAATCAAACCTAAGCAAAATCCGTAGTGATTCATTCCACCCCCTTGTGGTCAGTTCTATGAAGTACGGACCAAGTCACCGCGGACCTTGTAAGGTAATTGGTCAGCCGCCCGGGCAAGATGTCAATTTCGGTTCCTCTAAGTCGGGCACATGCGCGCGCTCTGCCAGAAACTGGAGAGAATTCGCTGCCATAAGAGGGATAGGGGAATGCACGGCGTATTGTAATTAGTCAATATGCAGGATGGGTACATGAAAGTAACATGCAGGACAGATATGTTAATAAATATTGTTCTTCGTTCAACATGTTTCCCAGGAGGGAGAAGTTTCCGAAGGACTAGTACTAGACCGGAGGAGCGCCTTGTACGAATCCCATGATCGTGCCGGATATTGCCATCGAGGATGCCACGACGAGGATGATGACATCGTACCACTTCCACCTTCCCTCCACGGCACACTTTGCACAGACAGGGCCGATCACGCAGAGGAGAAAGGCACTGAACGCACCGAGGAAGGACATGACGATGGAGAATGAAGGAATGAGGATGGCGGTGAGGACAACGACGAGGGATAGGACGACGCGCGTGAGGACGATGTACAGCGTTTGTTTAGTGAGCAGCCGTTTATGACCCGACGACTTGGGATCGGAGGAATCGGCCGCGGACGTGTGTGGATCCGCCCCAACGGACATGTTGCCGATGCCAAGCAGTGACTCTATAGTTGTGCTCAGCTGTAGTAACAGAAATCAGCAACGGGAAAGAGGGGTCAACCGAGGAACAAACGAACCGGGCGCGTGCACAGCGCATATTTGGACAGAGGATTGATCACGAGTCCCACGGCCATCACGATGTTCAACCACCTCGGATACCCCGGAGTGTTGACAAGATCCTTGCTCACCTCATCACTCACTGCGTTTCCGAACATAAGGTACCCGGCGCTGGCGATCACGCCGTAGAGCACAGTGGCGATCACGTATGCCCAGGTGATCATGCTGTCGAACCTTTCTGGGTTGCACAAGTCCCTTGCTAGGGAGGGGATGATAGTGTGCCCCGAGAGAAGGAAGACATGAGCAGGCCGAAGGCGATGGGTAGACGCGGCCAATCCGGGAGGAGGGAAGTGGGGGCTGGGCGGAGAAGCGACCCGGGAGTAGAGGTGATCGAAAATCCATTGATCAGAACTGTGGAGACGAGAAGAACAATGCTGAGGATGCCGAGGATGGAGGTGAAGGCGAGGAGGTTGAGGGGAAGGAAGCAGGTGGGAAGAACGCTATGGACCGGGTTAGAGAAAGTTCTCCACTCTCCAGAACCTCGGCTTAAAGGACGTACAATGCCAAGCCGATGATCTTCCACATGTCGCTAGAGATGCTAAGGACAAGCTCATGCAGCGTATCGGAGAAGAGTAGAACGAGGATCACCCTGTCGAACCAGCTCGCATCAGGCCCCACGCTATATCGGAAGAAAGACGCACGAAAGAGTGAACAGCTCGAGGCAGAACATAGAGATGGTGAGCCAGATGCTCCTCGGACCGAAGGCAACTCTGGCGATGTCTGCATAGGAATTGATGCGCACATCGAGTGCCATGATTCTGACAAGGATCTTCGCGCTACCCATACGATCAGCGCCTTTCCATCAGAGGAGGTAGACAAAACGCACGTGTAGTATGTCAGAATGCCATAGGTTCCAAGCAAAACGAACCCCCCGATCCACGCAGCATACGTGAACGCCACACTCTCGCTGAGCACGCCAACACCCAACAAAATAGCGATGCAATTGAACAGACTCTGACCAAAGGTGCTCGTCCCGCCGCCTGGAGCTTCGGCGATCGGAGCTTCGTCTTGGCTCTTGAGCACACCCCAGCTCGCGCGGTGCCGTACGCTGGGACGGCGGGAAAGCGTAGCGTAGGAGACGGAGGAGAGCCGCTGAGAGCGCATGCGAGGGATGGGCTGGGAGGCGCGTCTGTGTGCTGGGGGGTGGGGGACGCGGGGCCGGGCGGCGGAGAAAGCGCGCTGGTGCGAGTGTGCGTGCTTCGGTACAATAAGCGGGGTGATCTCGCTAGGTTGGGGCTCAGGTAGCGGTGGTTGACCGATTTGAAACCCGGAAGGACCGGCGCGTGGAGTGACGGGGGACTCAGGTTCGGACGTTGATCGTGGCCTAGGAGTGGTGGGTGAGAGCTCTTCTCCCTCACCCACCTCGACAGAAGTGCCTTCTCCCCCAGAACTGGTACTCGTCATCCTCAGCTCTCCCCTTGCCGGTCCCCATCCACTGCCCGAGAAGCTCGTATTAGTGCTCGGCACAAACACCGAGTCTTCCTCGATCGTTTCCCTAGAGATCCCCAGCCCCAGCTGCGGGCGCTCGAAAGAGACCGCACCAGCTTTGATACCCGCCGCGTCCTCCTCTATGTCAAAAGGCGGACGACCCACGTGGTAGTAGTAAGAGTCTTCTTCCTCCCCCTTCTCCTCTTCTTCCTCCAGGAGCGCACCGTCTTCCGCAGCAGAGGCTTCATCGTCCGCCTGGTCGACGGAAGCATCGTCGACAAAGTTAGTGCCGTAGAATGCTTGCGATCGAGAGTCTACAAAGGGGTTCAGCCTGATATGGTATGAGGGTAGACAATGGAACTCACATGAGCTGAGTGCGTCTGCAGCGGCGTGAAAGCTCGCGCTCATGACCTCCCTCGGTGTAGAAGGAGTTGTCATGATTGCGGCACTACCCTCTAAACTTTCACGAGAGCTACACTGATGCGAACCTATCGTTAAAGTAGTCCGTACCCAGTTACAGCCAGAGCAGCATTCCCAGGAGAAAGGGTTATTGTGAGAAAGCTAGTCTGCAACAAGCAGATGTATGAACAAGCCCCTAGCCCAGCTCCATGTCTACCCGTGCGGATAAGCCCATGATCGTCTTGTCCCAACGTTATCGCGAGACCCTGAATTGCCTTTCACCATGTGACATCACGCGTTTCTTGGGCGCTCATTGGTCGGATCTTCCTCTGATAGGTCATGGGAAGGTAATCAGCATCAGTCACGTTTTTTTTTCATTGGCACACACTTGCACAATCAGAGAAAATTGGATAATGCAATCGTATCGACTATCATACTCTTTTTGTCATTAAAGTAATATCATCGCGTAAGGCTATCACTTCTGTCTTGTAGAGCTGAGCTGTACAGCATATTCCTGCCATAAGCAGGCTATAGTCCTAGTGGTTTACCTACATTTTATGGTGTCCTTATGTTCCTTTTTCTCTACACACTATAGTCATTGAACCCTAATCAATTGGATCTCCATCACACGGCTTTTATGAGAGCTTATAAGGGTGTAACAGTCTAAAGACTTTACAAAACCGGGGGACGTTGCCCCTGCACAACCCGTAGGCTAGATCCGTCTATAGTATTTTCGTTCACGTCATGCATTCACAGGACTACGAGCGGATCACGTAAGTTTCAAAGTTATCGAGCTAATGGACTTTCCCTGTCCCACCGTATCTTCCCCAATCAATCTACACGTAGGTGATGGTGGTGGTGCTCGTGCCGGTAGTGACGGAAGTCAGGACCTCGTTGTTCTGCTCGATGTCGAGGATGTGGGTCGCACCACTGGGGTCCTGAGTGGAGCCGGAGGAAGTGGTAGCCACAGCGTTGGTGAAGGTAACGGAACTGAAGTTGGCAAATTGTATAAAAGACCCGCCCACGGAGTAGTCCTCCACGATCCACTCGGCGTTCTTCTGGCACAGAGCCGACGAAGAAGTGATGTCCTGAGTGACAGTCTCCCCGGTGGTCAGGTTCTCAATGACTGCAGTGCCGGATGTCGTGTTGGTGGCAGTGACAGTAACACGGACCTCGTCGCCAGCAGAGAAACTGATGTTGGGGAAGTCGTGCCATGCATCAGGGTACCACTCGTACCAGGCTTCAGATACGTCAGATGTGTGGGGCCGTGCTCCTCTTGATATACATACCACCGTAGGAGACTATGCCGTTATGAACCATGAAATCAACGCCGGTATGAAGGATGATCCCGCATGAATAGCCATCAATGCCAACCCAAGCGGAGGCACCATAGTGGCCAAGACCGCCAACCGGCTCAGAGGGCGTGGGAACAGTGAAGGTTCCGGTGACAGCCGTGTAGGTACCCTACAGACAAGTAGCCCGGCGTCCGACACTACAAGACAAGATATGTCACTCACACCATTGCCGCTGTAGACCGGACCAGCCCAGTTGCCGCTGTATACGATACCCTCAGTCTCCGGCCCCGTAACGTCTGCAACGGCAGTTATCCTTTGGTTGGGTATGGACAGGTGAGCACCCAAGGAACGGCGGGCCATACGCTGCTCGAGGCGCGAACGAGACGAGGGAGCCGCAAGTGCCGCGGTCGCAAAGAGAGCAGAGGTGAGCAGGGTGATGGCGAGCATGGTGATGGGCTGTTGCGGGCTGAGATTTGCTGATCTGGCTGAAGAGAATTGACGAGACCTGAGCCTTGAACACTGGCCCAGATTTCAAGAGAGGTTTTATGCCTGAAGGATCGCCCCATTATGCCAGACTGAGTACCGGCGGTGACTCTACGGCAAGAATCTCTTGTTATCTCCATCATGCGTCACGTGTGCACAAAAGGAGCGAACATCGACACAGCCGACCAATCCGTGCAAACTGTTCCCCGAAACAGATGAGGCAGAATGGGGCTTGGAGGAGAGGACAACGCGCGTGAGCACGATGTATGTACAACGGTTGTTTAGTGAGCAGCCGTTTAGGACCCGACGACTTGTGATCGGAGGAACCGGCCACGGACGTGTGCGGATCCGCTCCAATGGACATGTTGCCGATGCCGAAGAGTGACTCTATAGTTATGCACAGCTGTAGTAACAGAATTCATCAATGGGAAAGAGAGGAACAAACGAACCGGGCGCGTGCACAGGACAACGGGTTGATCACGAGTCCCACGGCCATCATAATATTCAACCACCTCGGATACCCCGCAGTGTTGACAAGATTCTGTTGGAACTCATCGCTCACTGCGTTTCCGAACATAAGGTACTCGGCGCTGGCGATCACGCCGTAGAGCACAGTGGTGGATAAGCCAATGGTTTGTCTTGTCCAAATACCCTGAATCACCTTCCACTGGGCGACTTGAGCGCTCATTTGGCCGGATCATCCGTCGATAGACTATGAGATGGGAATCAGCATCATTGGCATTCTCTCATTGGCACGCATTTGCATCAGGGAAAACTGAATAATGCAATTGTATCTACCACACTCTTTCGCCATCACCCCTGGCTACGTATCCTCACCAAACGGGTACTCGAACGGCGCGGGCATCTCAGCCTCCGCACCTTCCATCTCAATCGGGCCCGCTGGGGCGTCCACATCCATCCCAGTCGTAGCTGCCGGGGCAGCTGCGGGTTCAGGATCAGGCTCGAAGTACTCCACTGGCTCGTCCGGTCGCCTGTCGATCAGGACGATGATTCCCCCGCCGCCGGCATACTGTGCACTGTTGACAGGTGGTGTTGCAGAGGCAGGGACGCGGGACTTTGATGGTTTCCGAGCTGGAACTGGGCGGGCAGTGCCGGTCACTGGTCGGATAGGGAAGAACCGCCTATCGGAGGGGAAGACGATGTGTGGTAGCTGAGCGGGTACGACGCGTGACATGTTTGCTAGTTTCTCAGACGTCGGCTCGCGCTTCCGTGGCTGGGGGGTCGCGTTCCCGTCAGCTTTCACCTCTTCGCCTTCCTTCAGTTCGAGCAGAGCGTTCACGGGTTTCTCATCCTGTATGAATCGTAAGTATCGTTTGGGTGAGCAAAGGAACCACAGCATACAGTCTCCATTGCATCCCCGTCCTGAGCTTTCTCTTGTTCCTTCGTCTTCGCCCTCGCCTTAGCCTTAGCCGTAGTGGATAGCACAGCAGCCGCAACCTTCTCGACCGTCTCCTTCGTAGGCGGCTTCGTAAGCGAAGGGTACGCGAACAAGCTGGGCTTTCCTTGGGAGACAAACTCGAATTTGGGCACCTTGAGGTCTCCCGTCACACCGATAATCGCCGTCGGGGAGAAAGCGAGGGACGCGCAGTGGGCAAGAGGGTACCAGTACCAGAACTGGGTGAACAGCGCCATACCCACAATCGCGCTCATGTTTGCTCCACCGGCCCGGCTCTGCAGGGAGATGGTCACGTTGCGCCCGCCAGCGTCGATTAGCCCTTGCGCGAGTGTGGCACCGAATCGTGCCATGGGGTCTTCGTGCTTGTCGGCGATGACTTTGGTATAGAGGGCACGGGCGGAAGTGACGGCAGGGGATCCAGCTGCCGTCCGCTGTACCAGGATCATGGCAAGCCCAATCATAGCGCCTTGCCGGACAAAGTCAACCGGGTCCTTAGTCATGGGCTCAAGGAGCTCCACAGCGTCTTGCAGACCGGTGCCTGCGCAGCTGATACCGAGTGCGAGGGTGGCGCCGTACCGAACATGAGGGTTATAGCTCTCGCTGAGCAGCTGCACGACACGAGGCACTTGTGTTGGGTTCTTGAACAGCAGGAACGCGAGTGATGTAACAGCCGCTCTCCGGACGTCGTCGCTAGTGTCGGATACTGCAAGATGAAGAACTCGGCGGACGGCATTGTTGTTGGATGTCCCAGCGTAGGCGAGAGCAAGAGTATAAACACCCCCATAACGCAGGATGGGGTCCTTCATATACATTAGTTTTGTTCTAGTTCGAATTCTGACTATTACGCACCTTTTCTTTGATAAGGAGATCGATGACATCGTTTGCCGACTCTTGCTTTCCATAGAACAAGAAAGCCATGCCCATGGCCATACCACGGATGATTTTCTCATGCTGGGTCTCGTGAGCATACTGCAGCATCTCGTCGAATGCCTTCCGGTTCCCGGTGCCGAGCATGACGAGACCCATGGCATGTCCACAGGCTTCCCCAGCTACGGCTGAGTCGCTGAACAGGATCGCCTTGAGCTCTTCATATACATCTGCAGCATCATGTCAGAAAGTCAAGGTGACAGAAGAATCATGTATGCGCACCTTCGGCCCCGCTAGCCATGCCAGACACGCCTAGACCCAACGCGGCGCCATGCTGCACGACCTCGTCCCGCCCTGCAGAGCTGAGAATGCCCTTCAGGTACTCCTTTACCGCCTCTCCACGATTGGCATGAATGAGACCAAGAGCGAATAACGCACCACCCTCACTGAAAGGGCTCTGGCTGGGTCCGTTCTCTGGTGGTAGATACGGACCGAGGATCTGCATACTCCGTCCAAGATTACCCTTGTGCAACAAGCCGAGTGCGGCCGTGGCGGTGAATTTCGACCAGTTGGTTGCGCGGCCAAGCCATTCCAGGCTGTCTCGCAAGAACGTGTCGCTTGTTGTGCCCGTGTGCATGTAGGCATTGGCGAAGCTGAGCGCAGAGTGGTATATGCTGGAGCGCGCTTCTAGAGCATCCTTCGTGTTCTTCAGGATGAGCATATCAACGTGGTTGTTGCGCTTGAGGAACTCAAGGTACAGGGCGACACTCTCCTCACCGGTCAGGACACGGCGCAGTTTTGTGTAAGGGTCGGGTGTTGCATCCTCTGCAGGTGCGGGCATCTGGGACTTGACCTGATCTAGGAATTCCTGATTTCCAGAATCAACCAAGTCAAATGCCATTTGTAGGGCGATGAGCTGCTTCTCTCCCATCTTGCTCTCGACGAGATCTTTGAGGAAGGCGGAGGCGAGCGCTGCGTCATTGAGAAGCAGCAAAATGCGGGTGGTAGAGAAGTAGTCGGGCGCAGAAAGGGAGGGGAAGAGGCCGAGAAGGTATCGTAGCACCTTTTCACGGAAATGCACGTGTGGATGGGACACAGTGTGCTCAGTGAGCGCGGAGAGAATGTAAGCTAGAATTTCGGCATCTGGAGACCGGGCCAGGATACGCTGAATAACATCGAATCGTGACGACTCAAGAGCTACGCCTAATGCCTGGGATGACAGCATCAAAAGGTATCAGAAAAGGGCCCTAGGGCTTGCGTACCTGCTTGGATTCGCCTTCCTCTATATCAGCCTGGAAGATTCCCTCTATGATCGCCTGCAAACGCTGGTCTATTGCAGACGAAACAGTCTTGACGTCCGTATTCGGGTCTTCAGGGTCGGCCATGGCTATTCGCTTTGCAATGTAGGTATCGATGCATTTGGCTACAAGAAGTGTGAGGGACCTGGCAGAATGAAGAATAAACAATAGACGCACAAATTATAGTTTCCACGTATTCCGGACTCCGCCTGGCTTTCCGCTCTCGTTCAAACAAGTCTCCGGCTCCAAGGGCAAAGGTGAGCGCGTCATCGTACTCCTGAAGGCTGTAGTAGACCTTGCTGGCGATGAGGGCTGCGAGCGCGCGCGAAGATTGCGAAAGTGATGTGGATTCGTAGAGGGTTTCTCTACATGTCTGTTAATAATCATTGGACCAACTGACTTCGAGTCTGCACACATTTTGGTAATCTCTTCTGACACCTCAGCCCAACACTGGTCTACCAGGTCATTCAAACTCTGTAGCGCATACTCCTGGATTTCGGGTTCGCGTTCGGACAATAGTGCGAGAGCCCCAGCTGCAGTTTCGTGGTCAACAAGTTATATTTTCCCTTCAATAACAATACTCACCTGCAGACGTCTGCATCTGGGGAACCATGATGGGCAGAGGTGAAGGTCGTGTGCAAGAGGATGTACGCGGCCTTGGATATATGCGCTCAGGTTACTCCAGAAAGCAAGGTACTGACGCGTCCCCCTTAGCGGAAGCTTTCCGCGCAACCCTTCTTTTTTGGGAACAGCCACCATCATAGATCCTGGCGGTGAGAAGGGTGCTTGTGAACGTTCACTTCGTGTAGATGGTGCATGGACAATGTTATGCTTGCCGCCCATGATCTCAACACTGAAGTGGCGGAACTCCAGGCTATGCGCCGTGTGCCCCTTTATCTGTGCCTTTGGACGGCGAACACGCCTTCATGATTCATGCGCCAGTTGCAGTGCAACAACCACGAGTTGCGCACGAGGCAAACGAAGCATGCCTAATTTCTACCATCCAGTGCACGATCAGATACGACTTTCGGATTGTAGAGAATTTGAACTGGCAAGGCTTCGAATTACGAACAACAGGAATATTTGTTCCGTTACTCCGATCCATGATGTCGGAAGCGAGATTAGGTTACCCCGGATCAAGGGTTCACCATCCCAAAAATCAATGTTATCAACCTTCCCTCCTCCTTCGTCAATACCTTGCTATCTATGTCAATATTTCACTAGTCAATATCAATCAGTGAACTCACAGGATCACGCATAGACCCGCATCAACATCCTTATGAAATCATGATAACGATGAACGGACTACCACCAGAACTGCTCCAGCATGTATTCGAGGCTGTCGTCAATGACTGGGAAGAGGATCCCGGGCGAATTTGGTCCACGCTAATGGATTTTCACGCATATATCTTCCTCGTCAACCGTACGTGGAACACGACTGCTCGGCACACTTCTACTATTTGGCGGAACATCCCCCTGCACCGAGGGTTCTTCGATTACGCCGAATTCTGCCTCTTGCATTCAGGGAATCAGCCGCTGAATGTGCAGGCGAGCATGAGCGAGTCATTCAGGGAGCTCATGACTCCAGAGCGAGCGAATAGGGTGCAAAGGTTGGAGGTAGAGGATAAGGAGGCGTACCGACATTGGATGACGGTGCTCCTTTCGTTGCCTATCAGCAAACTGGAGTATCTGTCAATGAACTCGCTTTGCTCATCATGGGAGGAATCGCTCGCCTTCCTGGTTGGTAACAAGAACCTACACGAACTCGAGATCACGCGCTTCTTCCACCAGCCACTATCGCCAGCATCGTCTGGAGTACATCCCGTCCTACCCAAGCTGAAGAAGCTCAAGATATCCGACTGGGCGCAAGAAACGCAATCTGTGCTCTCTTCCTTCTCCGCCCCTTCACTGGAAACACTCCACATAGCAGTCAATGACGAACATCGGTACGGGCAACGCTTCCGGCCCATGACCCTCGGAACGATGGACATATTCTCCAGCGTAAAAGAAGTGATCTTTCAATTTGCAATCACGACCGAAGATGTGCTCGCCGTCCTTCGACAGACACCAAATGTGGAAGTTCTCCGCTTGGCACACAGCTGGCGCTTCGAGGCAAGTTTCGATGACCTTCTTGCCCAGTTATGCAATCCCAGCATCCCGATTCTGCTTGCACCGCGCCTGCAGGTTCTGAGCCTGCACGAGTTCCCCGTTTGGATGCCAGCGATTCTTGGGCTCGTACGGGCTCGGCTGAGCAGGAGCAGGACGTGCCTGAGCACTGTGGAGGGGATCGGTCAAAGGGTTCTGCCGTTGAGACGCGTCGACCTCAGCCCGAGGACGACCATGTTCTATCCGAAAGCGGACGTGGAGAGGTTACGCGAGATCTGTGAAGTACGGGTCTGGACGCCGCCGCCTGGGGACTTACGTTAGGCGGGAAGGATAGAGGTGTGGTGCGGCAGCGGAATGGGGTTTTGGCGCAATATGAGGGTTCGAAGGCTATCAAATGAAGTCTATGGAACGGCCATGTATGTAGGAAGAGTCCCGTCATGAAGTCCTGCGCAAAGCACTCCACTCATTTTGCCGCATCCTCTGTAGCTGCCGTCGCAGGCCCTGCAGCCTCAGCCTCCGCAGCCTGAACATCTAGAGCCGGCTTCGGGTCAACAAAGACTTTAACCACCTCTGCTCCCTCCTTAGCCCATATACCAATGGTCTGTTCATCAAGCTCCTCCCAGCGCATCCCTTCGCCCTCAAGCCGCACCTCGTACCCATGCGGGTAATGCCATTCCTTGCTTATCTTAATCTCTGTCACTGCCTCCTCACCCGTGCCCAGCGGAACATAGTGCATCGAGAAGCTCGACGTGGCGTAGTCGTGATGCAGATACTTGAGCTCGCCGGCTACGGCGGAGGCGTAAGTGCGAGAGAAGAGCTTGGCGTAGAGTGGGCGGACGACTGGAGTGGCGGACTCGTGCTCGACGAGACAGCCATCGGTTGGGCAGCCAGACACTAGAACATCATCAGTATATCATGTCGCTACGCTCTTCACACAAACAGACGTACCATGGAAATATTCTACATGGGCGGGCATGCCTGGTCAGCCCCGTCTATGCGCCACAGTCAGGTTGGGAAGAAAGACTCACTCTTATACTGCCAACCAATCCAGGAGATCAGATGTCTGTCGCATGCTTCAAAGGTGCCCAGTACATGATCATGTTTCTCTGCCAGCGACGTTCAGCAATCCGTCCAATATTTCTGAGTGGACGATACGTACTGCCACCATCGAACCCGGTGTCAAACTCCGTCAACTGAAAACATGGTCAGCCAGAATAGTGCCAATCACCATGTCATAGCTCACCATCGCCCCACACCCCAATCTCCTTACTTGGCCATCCCTTCGGGTGAAAACCGCGACCCATGTATCCGGCTCCAAAGGGGTGGGATAATAATGCCAACTGAGGACACTCTTCCCCTTCGCCGCGTCCACCCTTTTCTCCTGCTCTTCTTTGCTCTCCCCCTTCACGGGTGCGCACCCCGGCACACGTGGGAAATGGCCACCTGAGTTTCCGCACGCGGGCTCGAAGAAGATTAAGTGCTCGGGGTCGGCGGAACGGATGGCAGCCACGACAGCGTCGTATAGCTGCAGAAGATGGCCGCGCTCTGTCGCAGCCTTGTTGAGGAAGAAGTTGTAGGGCCAGCGGAGGAAGGAGCGCGCAGAGACAGCAGGTTCGTTCATGATTGCTATGTTGGGGTGATGGACATCAGTGTTCAGCTCAGAGCAATAAGGAATGAGCACGCACTGTATCCCAACAGGTTCGGCTCATCTTTCATCGCAACAGCAACACGTCTCCACGCCTCACAGAAATGGTCACGGACCCCTTGCTGATTCTACCATATATGCGCATCAACAACTGATATTTCCCAGAGCAAAAGGACGCACGGAATAAAGTCCCCAGAACGCCCTCGTGCATGCATCGCTCGCGTAGAACTGCCAGCCATCAGTATTCCCCTTAGTTCAAAAAGCATAAGAGACTCACAGGTCCCCAATTCTCCCCTGTCAGATCGTACTCTTTTACAGCCGGTGTGCCGATCAACGGGAACCTAGCTGCTCTTTCTCAGTTCAAGGTCGAACAGTGGAGTGCAAAGGCATACATTCTGTGTTGTACTGCGCTGGCCAGGGCTTGATAGGACGTGGGAATGCCCAGGTACCAAAGTATCCCTTGTCGCTGGTGATGCTCCAATCTGGCATCTAAGGTGGGTCAGCCATGGACAACGTGACTAAGGAGTGGGCAGGGAAGGACGCACTCCGTTTCCACAGAAACGCTCGCCGTAGATATCTTGATGGGCGTCCAACACCACCCAGACGCCCTCCTTAGCGCACATCCTAACCAGCTCCCTCACTTTCAAGATGTAGTCTTCATCGTACTTGTCTCTTTCGGGCTCAACACCCGCCCAGGGTATGTTCAACCGCACGACGTTCAAGTTGAGCTTGTTCCATACTTTGAGGTCCTCGGCACTGAAGGACAGATGGGGGTCGAACTTCTCTATTACTGGAATGAAGGGCGCGATCTTGTAGACGACGTTGAGCCCTCGAAAGAAGCGTTGTCGCGAGTGTGCGTCGGTAATCTGATGGGTGCTGGGAACGACGTGCGTGATGGGGATTGCGTGCGGGTCCCGAAGAGCAACCATGTCGTCCAACTCGTCGTAGACAACAGGAAATAGCTCAGAAGTTAGCAAGTCAAGCAGGACACGTCTATGCTGGCGGTTTCTAAAGATGGCTAATGCTGTGCCCTTCGTGTCGACGCGTTCAGGGACAACGCGTACATCGAGCAGCAAGGGATATACACTATCATCGGATTTTTACAATGTATGATGTTAGCATATACATCAACTCGACCATAGGAACACGCCCTCACGCCATTCCACGTCCTCGACACCCCCAACGCACTCAAGGCAGCTGCGCATGAGCAAGGATCTTGGCCAGTTCTAACGCGTCATCAATACACTCGCTCAGAATGCATAGTAAAACCTACTCACGCGGCAGTTTGATCTCCTCATTCTGCACCGAGCTCTTGACGACGTTGTCCGCATTCGGGGGGATCACGACTGAGTGACCGTCCATCTGCCATCCCTGCTCATGTGCGTACTCTGCCAAGTCCAATTCTACAATACTGATCAGTTTCACCTCCGCAGGGAAATCTACCAACTCACTCTTAAGGTCCAGGTACGCGCCCAACCTGTCCCTCCCTATTTTTGAGAAAGTCCCTCTCACCGCCCTAGCAACTACCTCCCTCACGCTGTCCTCGAACCCAACACACTCGATAGTGAAGTTTTCACGCAGGGGGGCAAGTTCAGGGGAGCGATAGAGCGCCCAGAACTTGGGGAAGCGGCAGGTGAGAAGGAGAGTGTGAAGTTGCGTTAGGTGGGGCAGGAGAGCCGGGAGCGGATCTGGATCTTCTGTTGGGAGGTAGGGCTGAAGGGACGGTCAGCCTCTACGGAAAACGCCCCAGTAGAAGCGATGAAGGAAAACAGACATACACCACGATCCCCAAGCAGCGCTAGGCAGAGATTGAAATCGGGCCCAGGTGAAGCAGTGATGGCCTTTAGCAGTATGTGGATCACCACGTCTGAGTTGTACAAATCCGGGTTAAACTGGTACCTGTATGCATGCGTTATTACAGCGGTCGAAAGTGACATCACACAAAGCGGAGCAAATGGGGACATAAACGTACAGCTTCAGAATGGCGAGGTTGGCCAGGCAGTCGTAGCCCCGTTCCCGTGTCTGCTGGTACATGTAGTCCTCGAGGTACTGCACATTTGCAGGGTTGTACCTGTCGACACCCTCGACGAGAGTGTCTATTTCTGTTGGTCGAGAGGCTGGGTGAATCCAGGTTGCTGCCATTACCGCTTTCCCTGTACAGTGTATTAATTGTGGTCGCAAAAGCGATCGGTGAAGACTGCTATGGCTTGACGACCACACGACAGGAGATGGTACGGTAATTTTGGGCGCCTGTGCAGACACGGCTGATCAGGCAGGGCAAAATAATGCTTCCGTTCGGTGTTGCACCGCCACCGCCACCCGGAGCTACGAGAGGGGTCCACTGCGAGTACTTGCTTTCTCCGTTAATGTTAGCCTCTTTCTCCCAACAACCTCGATGAATATTGTTTCTGCATGCACTGAATGAAACGCGATTCAGCAAATCTAACGACTTTGTCCGAACTGGCCGCGGCGTAGTTACAGGAGGTAAAGGCTCCGCTGCGGTCCACGTTTCAGCCTTGACTTGAAGAGCGCTCTCAGCTGCAGTGCCAGCCAATTGAATTGATCGCACGATCATTGCCAGCACCGGATTTCTTAGTTATCAGCAGATATGGACAAATATCTTCCCATGCAAGAGGAGTCTCATCATAACCGAAAAGAGGCGAAGGCTTTGATGCGCTGTTGTGACTTGGTCCTCTCACGGCGGAATTGGAAACGTTGTTGGACCGGACGCTGAAGCTATTGCGGAGTGTGGAACTGCTGCTAGATGGAGCAACTATCATCGTGCGTTGTATTTCGTGTCTCTCTCATTCATATTAAACATGACAGGCTAACTTCTCTGTCTTGCATGTACTGCCCTGCTTACAACGCCGTTGAATCAACCCGGCCTCCTCATTGCTCGGCTCTGTCGCTGCCGGAAGAAGCACGGCTTGGAATATTGCCCGGTGAGACGCACAGCCGCGCTTCCTCAGCCCGGCTCGAACGCCTCACACGCAATGTTGGATATAAAGCTGCACCGGTCGAAGATCGTTCCTCAACAGGCTGGCCCTCTCACATCTACCCCACTCTAGTGCAGGTCACTCAACTCCCACATTCTGACATCCTTTACTTCTCCTAACGATTCCTACATTCGCAACCGCCACATCTACTATACAACGATGCGTTTCGCCCGCGCGGCCATCATCCTCTCCCTCAGCGCTACCGCTGTTCTTGCTGCTCCTCTCACGCAGACACCCCCCCACAAGAAGAACAATACCTCTGCTACCCCCCAGCAAGCTGCAGATAAACCGCCTGTCATCAACGCTAATGCGCGCAGTATGGCAGGGAAACAGCCGCCGCCCGTGCACATCAAGTCGGGCATGTTCGAGGGGTCGATCAAGCGGATGTCGGCCACCAAGAAGTTGGGCAATTCCCACTCGTCGGCCCAGGCCCAGGGGCCGGCCACCTCGTCCAAGAAGTTGGACAAGTTCGAGTACTCAACCCGTCCTCAAACGCTAACTAAGGGCAAGCTGGTTGCGACCAAGTCCTTCCTTGCTATCGTTGCCGGTCGGAAGACCAAGACATCAGTCAAGCCCGGTGCAAAGGGTGCGACCGTGAAGGCTAGAAAGACCACCATGAACGCAGGAAGCAGGAGCCGGCTAATCCCTGTCCAGAGGCAAGCTCGCATGCAACCATTGCGTCAGCTGCAAAAATTGCGTAAGCAGCGCGCGGTTGCCGTATACCGACACGGCCAGCAGAGGGTGCAGCAGGGGGTGCAGCACGGGTTGCAGCACAGCCAGAATCCGGTGCAGTACGGCCAGTACGGCCAGCACGCGGCCGGCCAGTACCAGTACGGGCCCGCACAGCGCCAGCACGCGGCCGCCCCGTACCAGCCGTACCAGCCGGCCCAGCAGCCGCCCCCCCGGTACTCTGCGGGGCCGCCCCCCCGGTACTCTGCGGGGCCGCCCCCCCTGTACCAGCCGCCCCCCCCGTACCAACCGGCCACCCCGTACCAGCAAGGCCAGCAGTTCGTTGTGCGGGATGGGGAGGATGATGATATGTACTGGGCTAGGAACTACTCCGAGAACCTGGAGGAGCTTGATTGAGCGTGATCTGGTTGTAATCTTACGAGAGACATTTTCCAGATATGCTGTGCAACTTGTATCAAATAATGTATTGTAACCTCATACGCAAGTCGCCTTGGTTACGTATCGTTAAAGGACTATGAACTGTGGCGGCGTGCCCCCATAGCTAATCATGAACGCTAACCGACAGGGTGGTGATGGCGGTACTCCTGCCCGGACAGTAGTCACCGCGTTTTGCGTCAGATCTGATGACGCCATCCAAGGTCATATAGGTCAGGTGACCTAGGCTCGCAGAGCCCAAATGCGTTGTGCTCATCGAAGCTATGCGGGACCACTTTTGCTCACCTGTGCTAGATACTAGCTCATCACCTCTGTGATTAGCTAGCAAATATTTATCTTGGATTATCACACAAATTCTATCAATATATTGCTCAGACCCTTGACCCGGCCTTTGATGTGGCACTTCACAGGGAGGCGAAAATCAGCTGTGCTTCGCTGAGCGAAGCCCGAAAAAACTGAGCTTTTTCGGCTTTGCTGTTTCACGTCGCAGAAATGGTCTGTGCACATTACCAGGCCTACAAAAATCCTCCGATCCAGGTTGAATCTGACTTCCTTGTCCCAAATGCCTGCTCTCCAAACTGCACCACAATGCTGACTATCACCCCTTACATCCCCAGCTCTCCCAACTCCGTCATTGACCCTGCCCTTCTCCACCAGTCTCGTGCCGGCCAGTTGTCTGCCATGCTTGCAAAGTGGGATCCGAGAGCATCAGACTCCCAAAGTCTTATGATCGGACGTATGCTGCAGAGCATGGGACAGTCGCTGGATGACGGAACTGAAAGCTGGTGAGTCTCCTTGGCGGACATCGCACCTGCATTACTGACCAGATGTACAAGCCCTCCCGCTCCGCTCCCCTCCCTCACCAGCTTCCAATCTCCCCTCTCCCGCACTCAGCCTTCCTCCATTCTAACTCCTCAGGCTACGCCCCCCACCGAACCGCAAGCACTCCCGTCTGCTACACATCAGGTGGCCAAAACATCTTTGGACGAATCCGACAACGAACTCACCCCCTCCGAAGTTCAAATGGTGTTGAAGCACCGCAAGCTGACGGTGCAGGAGGGTCGGGGCCGCCATGCCCGTCCGAAGAAGCGTGCAGCGTCCAACGACCCTCCGCAGGTGACGGACCAACCTCTGAAGCGTGTGCAAGACATGCTTTCGGCCACTTCTGCGATCTTCTTGGTGGACAAGGCTCTTCATGTGAAAGGCTATCTGAAGGTAAGCACGCAACAGTAAAGAGGGTTACATGGCTTACCATCTTCCACAGGGTCGTATTCGGACTTGCCTGTACCAAATCATTGGTTATTCACCCGGGGGTATGATGCCGGATCTCAATGGACCAAGAGTTGGAGAGGAGGGCGAGTTCATGGTTTCCTCCCTAACTGGGTTAGGGGGAGGCTTGGAGAATCCGGGCAATGTGTCCATTATGCATAAGGCGGCGGAGATGGTGCACCAGCAGGAATCGGTGAGTCAGCCTCTTGACCGCGGACATCGCACCTGCATTACTCACCTGTAATGTAGATGCCCAGTTCCAATGTCGATGTCAAACTTCAGAAGGACTGGCTCGACATGGAGCTCCTGAGAGAGCTCGCTCGTTGAGCATGGCCCAACCTAGTTCGCATTCGCTCCCTGCAGCAGCGAATCCAGCAGGAGGGAGAACAGATTGCCATACTGCAGGCCAGGCATGCCCGTGAGGCAGAGCGCAGGAAGGCAGTAAGTACTTCTTTATCTGTACTTGGCATTGGCAACTTACGTGTTTGTGCAGCAGGGTAGAGTCTACCGTGTCAAACTCGTGGATGTTTGCGTGGACGAAGGGGCCGACAGCGCCGTAGTTGGAGAGCTTGCTCATGATGACTTTGTCGCCGGAGAGTTCTCTTGCGATGAGGATGGGTCGAAGAATGAAGAGTGGTGGGCACAGCTGTACGAAACGGGCAAACTATCCAAGGAGCAGGATGATCCACAACTGGCCGTGGTGGAAGTCAAGCGGCCTGATTGGAAACTGCAGAAGGTCAGACGTTCGTGATATCACCTGAAACGCAAGCTCACCGAGTTCTAGCTGCATGATTTCAAGATGGAGCTTCTCAAGAACAAGCCGAGGGTCAATCCAGGCGGTGGCCACTGCACTTGTGCCTGCGAATACAAGTGTATCAATCTTGGACGTACCTTCCAGAGCTTGCCCCACGTCATCCCGTGGGACTTCATGCTTGATCCCGAATGGGTGACCAAAGAACTTCCCAACTACCAGGGATGGGATTGCCGCCCTGGTTATCCCGCTCTCATGACCAATGAGCTCTTGATGGGGATGACCAGGTTGACGATGTCTCACATTGAGGAGCGAGATATCGACAGTGCCTTGAGTGAGGGCACAGTACGCGAGCAGTAATGCAGGTGTGATGTCTGCATTACTCATGGATCCGGCGACAAGGTTAGCAATCTAGAAGAGCCCCTCAAATAATCACTTACTTTGAACACAATACATACACTTACTCGTGCCTATTCGCTCGGTAATCATATAAGCTCCCAGATACGGACAAATTCCTCAAAACAACATAGCTATATGTCCTCTTTTCTTACAAGCTCTTTCCATCCTGTTCGTAGATTAGTCCTGCGTTTAATACCAACACTGTGAGCATTGAACTTACCTTACCTTGCTCATTCCCGTGGTTATCCACATCCTCCTGCCTTCGAACTCCATCGTGCACCGAGCAGCAACCCCGCAGATATCCTCAGCAAGAATCAGCGCCGGGGGAGCCCATTCAGTATCTTGCAAGTATTGACCGGGCTCCCAGAAGTCCACCTCGAGTTCAGGATATGGATGGTACAGGTCGGCATAGGACGGGAGGTCTTGCAAAGGAACTAGCCAGTCGACCAGAGCAAAAGTCAGACACTTGCCTATTCCGGGTTGCATGTGCTGGAAGATGTCACACAGCTCCCCAACCCACTGTACCCTCCTCTCAAAACATATTTGCATGAGAGCATTACTTTTATTAGGCCGATCCACCTCCGTCGCGTACAGCTTGTAGCTGCCCACTCGGAGCTGAGGGTAGTGAGTGGCTTGCAGCACGAGGTAGAGACTGCCAGGAAGCGCCTTGGCATCTGTGGCTTTGAAGAGTGCTTGGTCTGGGTATTGCCGGTGATACCAAGCAAGGAGTTTATCTTGCATGGTAGAATCGAGTCGTCTATTGTAGGCAGTTCCATGCACCGGCGACTTCTCGAGTTCGATGAGCTCTTGAACTTCTCGCTGGGCGTGCACGACGACGTTGGCGAGCGTACCTACCTCCACCCCCTTCAGCAGCTTGTTCAGTCTTTCAAACATGAAAGTCCAAAAGCCGTGAACCGGTCCGAACCGGCGAACTTGCTCACCCATATGGGTCACCCAATGGAAGCTGGGGGTTATGTTCACTTCTCCATATATCTGCTGGGGTGTCAGTGCAAATGAAGGATCATCGCACCTGCATTACTGATGCAGGTGCGATGTCTGAGGACTCACCTCAGCATACTCCTTGAAGAATTCAACATAGAGCTTCTCCGCTCACACTATGTTGGCCGAGCTTATCTCACGCCGGGTGAAGATCTTCAGTGTGACCACGAACTTCAGGTAGTCGGAGGCAATCTTGGGATGCGTTCGCTCGCTTGTCTTGAGGAGTATGGGAGGGAGGGCTGCCAGCCCAAACAGAACTGCGAGAGCCTTCCATTTGTCGGAGGTGAGATGGCCACCGGCCGGCTTGCCTACACGTTGGGGCAGCCTCGCTGATTCACTGGGTACTTCTCCCTGGGCAGTGCTCAGTCAGCAATGTTCACATTGCAGGAAGAATGGGGTACCGTAGCGAGTGATTTGTGCAGCTCGTGCATCTCCCTATGTGTTCCCCTGTCTGTGTCCTCTCGTAGCATGGACATCCGCTTGTTCTTAGCCTGCTTGCCTCCTTCAATCCAGTTATAATAAATGAGTGTGGTTAATCCTGTAGAGACCCATCAGTGACCATCAATGCCTGGCTAGCCCTCATTTGCACCTTGGAGCAACACATGCATCGGGTCGATTACACCGACTTGCACCAAGTCGATATACGGCAGCCAACAAAATTCAGACCAACGGGTGCCTGTCGAGCTGAACAGCTTCTCCATCTTGCTGGTATCACCCTGCAGCTCCAGCCGGTGCATTCTGGCTGCGATCTTGGTGTGCTCTGTCCCTTGTCGTGCCGGGATATCACCTGTATTCCACCCGTGGCTAAGCATGTCGGCTCGGGTGATCTCGCACTGGGTACATGGTCTCTTGTTGTGCCGGTGATTGGCAAAGCCACACAACTTGCAGAGTGCCAGATGGTCGCCAACAACGGCGACCACCATGACTCTGACTTTGCGTCCTGTGTGAAGGGGGTCAGCCTGCTACATCAATGAAGGAGGTGCGATGTCTGTTGCTAGGACACCGCACTTGCTTCAGTAATGCAGGTGCGGTGTCCTATTGACGCACCTTGTGGATACTGTGGTGTGCACACCACAGTTCCATCTTGCCATAAGCGGAGGAGGTCATCCACGAAGGGTCGAAGGAACCGATGCAGCTGCTCACTGTTTGGTTCCCTGGGCCCGGGAAGTATACCAATCAGGCACAAGTTCTGCACGCGAAACCTGCAGAAATGTGAGTGATTGGTATACTATGATGCACAGGTGCAGGGGGGAAGAGGATGTACCGCAGGGCAGGAGGCAGATTGGCGATGCAGACGGACAGTGGGCCCGTGGAGTGAGAAGGGGCGAACTTGCTCGTGTTGGGGTTGAACCAGTCCAGGGATACTAGTATCCCAAGACCGAGTTCCCCCTGTTGTCGAGCTTCGTCCCGATTGCAAGGGAAGAAGCACTCGCCTTCGCTCGTCTTGCGTCTTGAGTCCCTGCCACACTTCACCATCCTGGATGCCAGAGTAGATGACAGGCTGTGAGGGCTTGTCCAGATATGACTCACACGCCTCTTCGAACCCCGGTTGGCCCAGGAAGTCAGCGAGCTGTAGGGAGAGGAGATCCAAGGGCGCCTTTTTGCACGTGGTGAGGATGAGGGAGGTGGGGGCTCGCTCGTACAAGGCTACCTGGCAGCGTTTGCACCTGCGCTGCCAGTCTGCTTGAGGGGGGTCTTCCTCGTACGTGAGCTCGTCGACCATTTCGGGATCTTCTGGCCGGCTTTGGTAGCTGTCACAAAGCCAGCATATGGGACAGATCGTTTTTACTTCAAAGCAGTCCCATATACCCATGCGTTGGTACATGGTCGTCAGCGTGCATGGTGGGCTCGATCCAGGTGTGCAGGAGGCGGAGGGCGAGAGGATGTCCATGTACTCCAATACTAAGTACAGGAAGCTTGCAAGGAAGCCGCAAGTGCGGTGGGGTAGCTGATAGCGAGCATGCAGATACACCATCATGAGGCATATTGCCCTCACCGCAGCATTGCTATGCATGCTGAGGTAGCACTGCAGCGGTGTCCATGAAGGGTGGTCGAAGTCGTATGAGGGAGGAGGAGGAGGTAGGGCAATCCTAAGGTCGTCTACTGCGAGCCTCGCCGATTGCTCAGATACTGCTGGCTCGGGTTCGAAAGATTTGATAGTTTCGGTGTGTATGGCGTCGTCATCGGGTTCCTCATCGACTTGGAATGACGGGAGGTCGTTGTCCTCCCAGACATCCATGAGGGATGCCGATTCCTGTGGGACATCGACACCTGCATTGTTCTGTAATGCAGGTGCGATGTCAGAAGACTCCAAGCCTTCCGTATCGTCTGGAATCAACGGATCCTCAAGTGTTGACCAGAGTGGCATTTGATCCATGGCATCGATGTCAGGTTGGGTCTCCACAGGAAGGCTTTCCTGGTCATCCACAGTAGCAAGCTGTGGGTCCCTTGGTGGAGCAGCTGGTACCGAACCCGACGGCTGCTGCCCTGGAACCGTACTGCTGCCAAGCGATTGGCGAGTTGCCAGATGTCGAAGATGAGCGCAAATGCCTGATCTGGTCCAGGTTCTGCCTGCAGGTCGAGCATCAGATATGCATTCGGAGCAGGTGCACCGGCGAGTTCCCCGCGGCTGCCAGTTCGAGGCCTGTTGGGCTGGCATCAATACACTGGAGTGTGTATCAGTAGTCGCCTGAGTGAGGAACTTGCGACAGGCGCACCTTTTTCCTCTCGACTTCATCGAAGCAAGCCCAATGCCAGGTGAGATATATAATTAGATAATAATATTAATCATGACGGCCTCGAAGTAGGTTGCTAAGGGACCAATGCCGTCACCTGCCCGATCCACAACGCGATAGTCGCAGACAACGTGAGGTCGGTGGAGTGCTGAGGATAAATCAGATACTTGGAGTGGAACAAATCAAGGCCGCAGATCTTCACTACGGGGCTGAGCTTAGAGGTTGCTTGAGGTCGGTCGCGGGGGCAGAAGTACCTTTGCTAGTCTAGCAAAGGCACTCATTCAGGTTTTGGAAACGAGTGCATTGAGTTGGTTGCGGCCTTAAAGGCCAAGTAACAAAGGCAAGATAAACAATCAATGAAGGTGTTAAGCTTGCCCTGTCGGGCAGCATATTGTAGTTGGGACTGGGGAGGAATGGGTGGAAAACAGAGAGTACAGTGACATCACGGCAATAGACAAGACATTAGGTGTAGATGGAGCCAAGGACATATATAAGGTCACGCGTGCACGAGACGACCCCCGACCAGCCGGTTCCTCCTCACCAACTCCGCTGAGACTTCTCTGGCAGCCTGGGCTTCTGCGACTGCCTGGAGGGTGGCCCTGTCCAAGGCCACCAGACGAGGCGAAGGAGGCGAGGAAGAGGATGTCGATGGAGTAGGCGAAGATGAACGAGAAAGGTTTGGAGGTAGCTTGAGTCGCTTGCGAGGAGGCGTGTAGCGGGGAGGCAGTACCTCATGGTGACAATACAAGGGGACAGCTTCGTCATTGCTTGCTGGATGAGCATCCAACAAGGATGAGGAAATAGATGGATAGGACGATGGATGGTACGCAGGAGAGAGTTCGTCCGCTGAGGCCTTGTCGAGCTCGTGCTTGACCGTACCAGTGCTGGGTACATGAGCTGGGCATTCAGTGGAGGCCGTCACCACAACGGATCCCGGCACAGCAGCCGCTGTGTGGTCGGAATGGGAGATAGTGGTCTGGGGGAAAGGCGAAGGTACAACAGAACTATTGCTGGCCGAGTCGGCAGATAGAGAATTGGATACGGGGCCCCTCAGGCAGGCACCAGTGCTCCCCCAGAGGCGAGGAGACGTCTTCGATTCTTCAGTAATGCAGGTGCGATGTCCGCGGTCCGCATGATCGGCGGGCGCTTGGAGAGCCACAGTGACGGTGGCTGGGATGCTGACAGGTTCCATGATGTCCTGGGTGTACGAGGTCGACTGAATCGGAACACCAGTGTCAGGTGTCAGTGTATTGCAGGTGCAATGTCCGAGTGCGTCAACGTGCGCATGAGTACCCCGAGCTACCCCGTTGGCCACTAGCTCAGGGTGCTGCTGTAGCCAGGACAGAACCATCGCACCAAAACCTGATAGTGTGTCAGTACCATCGATTCAGAGCTGGCCTGTAGTGCTCACCAAGCCCCTTCTGCTTAGCATAAGCCACCTGAAGGAGCAACGCTGGGCTCGGATGACTATCCGTCATAGTCAATAGTGGTTGATTAACCTATAGTCAGAAATTAGCAGTATCCTCGAAGAGCCCTAAATTACAACACTTGCTTAAGGATCTTTGTCAGTATAATCTGTTGTTGGTAGAAGGTCGATGTTGGGAAAGAGGTAGGAGGCGATGAGCTCAGGGGATGAGACGGTGAGCTCAAGTGGTGCCGGAAGCGCAATTCCGAGGAAGGGGAATGTCACTTAAGTCTGATCCGAAAATCAGGGTGTTGTGAACTTGAAAGTCCAGAGACGGATGGCTCGTTTGGTTGGTACCCTCCTCCCCCTTGAGCCTTTCTCCACTCTTATTGCGGGCCAGCTTTACTATCTATGACTCACTGGCAATACAATATGATGACTGGTTACCTGGGGAGCAACAGTCTCCCCCATCCCAGCTAAACTCTCATCAGGACAATAGGCACCAACAAGACCACCAGGAGGTGAACACAAGTTCTCCTCATGTTTGGGCATCACACCTGCATTACAGAAGATGCAAGTGAGATGGCACTGCATCTTAGGTATGTAACACATTGTATGGGCACAATTATGTCTGCCCTCCATGCTTTTGCACTCCCAGATAGGGGCAGAAGCAGGCATGCAAACCTGAATGGGCGGCAACCCCTGTCTGCCTCCGCAGATAGCCCCAATGGTGCATCTGTGTTCCTCTCTCTCTTCCCATCAACCACCATGAGCAACACTGATGGCAACAAAAGCTTGCAGCTTCTCCAGCAAATATTTGATCTGAGTGTGGCTGTTAGGGCAACACAGGCTGACTAAGTCTGCTCACCTAAGAGTGCCAAGAGTCTAA